GGATAAGCAAATGCAGTTTCATGTTACAATTTGAAGTCATTCTAGAAAGAAAAAAAGGATAACTTAGATTTGTTTCAATTTTTTTTTTGGTGGTGCGAGTTTTGTCAAATTGACTGAAACTGGAAAGAGATAGAGTAGAGAAAATAACCATAAAATATAAAGTTTTACTGAGAACAAACACTTGAAATGTATTTAGGAGGTTTTAGGGATTAGGCAAAGGATATTTTGAGATTTTTCAGATAAAGAAAAGTATTTTTAATCTTAACATGAAAAGTACTTTTCATACAGACTATTCAAAACAAATGCTCAATATATTGATGGATAAATCTTTATTTTAGTTTATTAAAAATACTTCACAAAAAATATGTTTTTTGTATCTGAAAGACTTGTAATGTTTACTGAAAGACTGCCAAATTTTGTGAAGATATACCCATTATATTGAAAGTCAGAATTAAAAAAAAATCTATATAGACTTTAAATGAGTAAAAAAAAGATCTCGTGATAGGTCAAATTGATCAAGTCCATGTTGAGAGAGTTAATTAAACCTTGAATGTAACAAAGTAAAATCTTGTGGCATGCACAGTGTGGGGGTGCCTGTAATTATAGGGCTCATAGTGATAATATGAAATCTGGCCTTTATGGCAGTGAAGACACCAACACATCTTGAGTTGTAAAGTGTAGTACAACTGTGTATAAGTCTGACCTCTATTGTCTGTATTTTATTTATTCTTCCTCAAGCAAATCTTTTGAAACCCTCTGTGTTGTAAATATGATACTTATTTGTTCAGGGGCTGATCTGGGCAATTATTTTACTTTTGTTGGTGACAAAATTTAACATTTGATAATTCTTTTGTACTAACATTTGATGCCAGTAAAATATGTACATGGTATCTATTTACTGAACAGGTAAAAATTACAGATAGTTTACTTAATCTGCTTACCTATGTTTTGTAAATGTCTGTTTAACAGATAATAAAAGAGTTAAGATTGTGAAATACTTAACAATATGATATCAGCTTGTTTACAGTACAGTGGTTGCAACAAAAATTATCTTAAGGTAATAAAACTGCGAGAAAATGTTTATGATATGGTTGTGCACGAAGTCGTGGCTGATCCAATAAATTTGGTAGGTATTTGGATGTTAGTTATCCTTCCAGGATGGTTGGAATTTAGTGGTATAGGTGTCAAAAGTGCACATATGCTTATGAACATTTATATTTATTTTTACTGTTTACTCATGAATGCTTAATTTTTAGTTATTTTTCTTAAAACATAGAACAGTAATTAAAAGATATATAGAAAAACAATGATTTCTAGTACATGCATTACAAAATTGGTTTTTACTCGTATGTTGTTCTTGCTAAGTCTCACCATAATCCTTGTTTATTATCACAAATGGAGGGTGAAGACAAATCAGTTTATGTAGATTTCAAGAATACATTTTAGAAAATCAAAAAATTATCAAATTTTTATAGTGATACCCATGAAACCACTGTAATTTATCTTTCTAACTAAGCTATATGTGTGTAAAAAAAATTAATTTCTGTTCAACAAACTTCAACATTTTCAGTGAAATTACAAGTTTCCCTTTCAAGCCAATTACAAATGACTGTCAGGTTTACCAAGCTTGGGATGTGCTCTTTCTGTAGGTGTGAGTAGACAAGAGGTTTCAAAAGAAATGTAGTAGTGGGTGAAGCTATCCTGGTAGATTTTCAAAATATATTGATATTTAAGCAAATTAAAAAGATGGAAGGTTCTTATTTTATATTGTAGCATGTAAATATCTGAAATTTGAGTTTCTAATTTGTTAACCACTATAGATATTGAATGGTAGGCATAATATAAACTGAGCAAGAAGACATGTCACATGATGCACAAAAAAAAGCATATTTAGCATTTTGTTGAATTAAGAAATTAAAACATATATTAAAATTTGAATTATAAACTATGTTGTGAGTCAATTTTATTGGTTCACAGCATAGTTTATAATAAAATTTGCAACGACAATAAAGTTTTTTTAAGTATATTTAAAAAAATAACTTAGTGTCATGGCATGCTCACTTTGACCTTTCTTTAGCAAGAGTGTTAAGATGAAATATTGTTATCCTTAACATGGAAATTGCCTTGCATCAGATTAACTCATTAAATGGTTTGGAAATTCACAGACAAATTTTTAGTATAAATACTTTATTAAAAGCTCGTATTTTATTGTTTACACTGGACTTGTAATGTTTACTAAAAACATGCCACGTGAAAATACACTTTGCAAATTCAGAGTTTTTGTATGTGAAGCATCATGATTTTCAAGCTTGTTTAAAATAACCAATTTGTTTTTAAAGGATTAAGTTTGTATATTGCTTCACACATGTTTGAGCATAAAATCAACAAACAAACAATACATTTGCTAACATTTGAAGAATTTAGAAATTCAAAATGAGAACATGAGGGTGAACTAGGTGATTTGAGTTACCAGATTCGAATCATAAGTTCCAGGTCAGACACGTAAATAGCAATGTATTTTTGTTATAAATTGACCTAAAACAGTTTCAATGATTATGAGTTATTGTAACACCCCATTTCTTCAGGAAACTGTTTCAGTAAAAAAAAAGAAAAAAGATCAAATAAGAAACCTGTACAAAAGCTTCAAATTATAGAAAATGTACGTATCATTTCTGTCAAACTTGTCAGTGGAGAATTGAAAGACAACTTCCTATGGCAAGCTAAGTTACTACATTTCTTATACTTGAATAGTAGTAGTAAGCCTCAGTTGGTGAAAGAAACAGGAAGCTGCTTATGGTTTTTATGTGCATTATTTAGAATAGCTTTTATCAGTTTCACTGTTAAAAAGTTGGCATGGTGGTTAATACCAGTGAGGACTTGCCACATATGATTGTTCAAATGAGACTGGCCAATCATACAAAATCCACTAATATTATGTAATTTATTAAAAGTGTGTTTAGTAGCACAGGTATATTGTTCATAATATATATATATATCATATAATAGTCTTACATATATGCTTACACTCGCTTGAACATAAAAAGCAGAACTTCTTGTAAACTTTCTTGTTGGTGAAAATAAAAAAAAGTGTTGATGATTTTGGTTGTTGGGGAATAATTCCGAATTTTAAAGCAATGTGTAATATAACTCACTCACAGAAGTAAGATATTCTTAATTTATTGAATCTTTATTATTGCAAAAACTGTAAATTGTCTGAAGATACCTTTTGTTATGAATATAATACAAATCACAAAACCACAGTTTAAGTAAACACAAGTACAATAATAATGTTAATGTGCTGAACTTTGTAATAAACCTCATTCATTGTAATGGTAAATTATGTACAAAACATCTTTGTATTATTAAAATAATCACAGCACTAATTGCAATATTTTGTTGAGCACAATATCGTTTAATACCAAGCATTTACACAAGGACCAGTGGCATAATCCCCAGATGACTCCAGTGCATTTATGAGAAGCATACATCAACCAATTTGCTCATACATAAGGGGTGTGAAACTTGGATTAAAATTTAATGATGAACCAGGTGTAAGGTGGGGTGTCCTCACCTGATGGCCAGATGTGTAGAACCAGGCTTATATAAAAATCAGTAGTACTGAAGTGAAGGCAGGAGCAGTTAAGTTCTCCAGAGTTTTTAATGCTATAATAAAATATACAAATACAATGAACAATGATTGGTTTGTATACTTACTTTTTAAAATATCTTTTCATTTATGTATTTAAGTTAGGTAGGGATATATTTATGCCAATTTTGTTTACTTGAATGTTTTTATTAGTGTATTATTTTTTAAATTTATAATATGAAAACTACCACTTCTAGAGTTTAATTTTGGCTGTTGAAATTTAAGAAATATATAAATTTATTTTAAGCTCTTCAGTCGTCAAAGCTCAAAACATTTTATACATGTGCAATTTTTAATATGATAAGTTAACCATATCTAAAAGTAGTTTTGTTTCTACAAAACTTAATATGGTTTTGAGTAAGCTTCACAGTTTTCAAATTTTGAAAATCTAACGCATACTCACAACTAGATAAAATTTATCCCATATACCAACTAAGAATAAATGCTTTTTAAATAATGGATGTGACATGTAGTTATCCATTTTAGTGTAATAAATGGTGTGTGTTTATTTATATGTATATATATTAAATATACTAAAGATAGAGAACATAAAGTGTTTTTTTATATGAATTATGTTAAGTCCTCCACATCATCAAATAATAAAAATGTGAATATACATACTTAATTATTTATAGAGAATATTCTTTTTTTGTTACAGGAAAAAGGAATCCACTTATGTGTGTACTCCATTTTATTTTGAAATGTCATAATCACCAAATTAGCTCTTATATTTTGTTGTAAAATAATAAGAAATAGCATGCCATCTTTGGTTGACTATTATATTTACTTTTCATTCCAGCTATGCCTTTGTATGTTAAACACTAGGGTTCATTACATCACAAGTGACTCATGTTCCAGATTTTTTATTTTATAATACATAGACTGTCATATTCTTTTTTTTTATCTATAAACAGATTATGCACTTTCATGTATGTAGTTTTAGCATAAGCTAGCTTAAAGTAGTTCATTATGTTTTTAGAGAACTAACTGTAGGAATGTGGTATCTGTTTCAACAGCAAACTTTTTAGGCTATAGTTAGTAAGAATATTTTTAACCATTTCAGAAGTCGTAGAAAACTAGAAAGGCAAGAGTCTGTGAAATCTGAAAGTAGTAACAGTAGTCAGAAAGAAGTTTCAAGAGAAGAACAACATCAGAAGTCTGACAAACAAACAGTTGAATGGTTAATAAAAAACATTCCTTCACCAGATAGATCTGAAGATTCTAGTTCTCAGCTTTCCTTCTCTTCAAAGCAAGAAAAGAAAAAACAAAAGGGTAAATCATGAAGTAACAATAAAAGATAGTTTAAAGGTGAATCAGTAGGCTAGGAAAGGGGGAAAATTTCTTTTACTTAAATGCTTGAAGTGTTTTTAAACTTTGAATTATATTTTCAAATATTTTTTCAATGAACAAATTGAGGTAGTGCTGCTAAGTGATTCTGTAGTACAGCACATAGATAGGATATAGACTGTGTGGTAAATATGGAGAAAAGATTTAGATTATGCTATTCAGGGCCAGGAGTAGAGGATATAACTGACAGAGCATGTGATACAGTAATGGGTGCTAGCAGTGATGCAGTCTTTGTATTGTATAGGAAAGGGTAGGTTAGAGGAGCTAATTCTAGAAAATACTGATAAAGGAATTCAAAGAAAAGGGCCATAACAACTATATTCTGTCAGGGATACTGTTAAGACTTAATTGTGGGAATGAGATAAATAGGTCTGAATGCTAGGTTTAGGGGCAAGCAGGTTGGCTGGATGGATTTGTGGAATCAGTTCAATGGAAAGAGGGAAATTTTTGGAATGGATGGCTTACATTTAAATAAGGTAGAAACTGGCTTGTTTTCAAGGGTTATTGGTTCAATTGTAAGGGCATTTTTAAAGTAGGACTAGACTGTGTTGAGGACAGGAATAATGAAGAGAAATAACAGTTTCTGAGCACACCTAGTTTTATAACAAGCTTATTAGATATAATAATCTAAGTTACTGTCAAGCTACTTAACTTAGAGAACTGGTTGGAACAAAGGATTTTGATGTAACGGAAATAACAGAAACTTGGTTAAATGTAGACAATTCTGATGGTTGGAATTTCTTTGAAATACAGGTTTATAGGTTGTTTAATAGTGATAGATTACTAAAAAAAATTGGAAAGAAGTGGCTTTTTGTTGCATCCTGTTCAAGTTAAGGATATCAAAGCTAATAACAATGAGGTTGAATCTGTTTAGGTTTCTATTAGTAGTTATGAGGGGGAAAGGCTTTTAATGGGAATTTGTTAGACCACCAGATGAAATTGATGAGAAACTTTATAGTGAGATAAAGAATTCAACTGTTAATGATATTATAACTATGGGAAATTTTAATTTCAGGCATACTTATAATGAAATCTTGTAGTCAAATCATAAGGGAGACAGGTTTTTAGAAACTACAGGATGGTTTTTGCACCAGTTGGTTAGAGCACTTACAATACTGTTTTAGATGTATTGTTAACTTTTAATATAGAAATGGTTGATAGAGTGGAGGTTGGGGAACATCTGGATTAAAGTGGTCATTACTCAATTAGATTTGATGTTTTACTGCATGTGGAGCAAAAAAAATAAATAAGATTTTGGTTTTAAATTCCCAAATAGCAAATTTTGAAGGGATGAGACAAGAATTTTTCTACAGTAGATTGGGCATCTCAGTTGATGGGAGATACTGATCAAATGTGGAAAAATATTAAAAGTAAATTCTTAAATATTCAAGATAGGCATATTCTTTATAGACAAAATAGGGTGGCTGCAAGTTGGCTCACAAAGAGTTAGAGGAAAAAATAAAGAAAAGCATTATAAATCTAAGAAGTTTAAATTGGCTGCAGTGATGGGAGATTTGGAGGATTCTAAAAGATCAAGAGAGTTTGGTAAAATAGTAAATGGAAAAAAACGTTGGCTGAAAATACTTCCTGACACCAGTGGTACTGCTTGTGTTGGTACTTCTGCTTCCAGCTTCCCTTTTCAACCTCATGTAAGTGTAGTTTTTGCATACAGGAAACTTCTAGAGACTGCGTATCTGCTTACTTTGGATGGACAGCTTCTGTTGGCATTCAAAACTCTAATTCAAGTGCATAAACAAAATGGGGTACAACCAGGGGTGCATTTAGGGAATGTGGAGCCCTGGGCCGGATGGGATTGTGGGGCGGCAGTAAAAAATGTAAATGAAATACTGGATATATTCATAGACTAATCTTTATTAAAAACACTTCACTAAAAAATTGATTTTTTGTATGTAAAAGACTTGTGATGTTCATTGAAAGTCTGCCAAATTTTGTGAAGATATCAGGGGTGTAAAAAGTACTAAATATGTTACACAAGTTCAAGTAAAAGTACTTTGTCAAAAAGTTACTCAAGTACAAGTAAAACATCCTAAAATTTATTTAAGTTAAGAGTAAAAAGTATCTACTGAATAAGTACTCAACTCAAGTAACAAAAGTAAAAAGTACACTCATCTGCAGTTCTCTCAAACACAAAATGTGCAGGCCATGAGGTCTAGAAACAAAACCCTGTATGGAAAAGATTTACTAAACTACGTAAATTACCAGTGAATTGTACTGATATAAGATTTGTCATTCTTTTTGTTATCTAGAACACATTTGTTGTATATTATTGATTACTATGGTATTCACAAATACACTTAGGGTTTCAGGCAATTGTGCATGAACTTATTACAACAGTAATGCCAAAAGTGAATATTGTACAAATCTTATTGTTTCAGAATAAACTATATGAGGAATTAAAAAGATAAATATATGAATTCAACCAACTATATTATATACAAAATTTCTTATTCAATTTGAGAAACAACTGATTTTCAAAGTTGACAAAGTCAAACATTTCATGCAAAGCATTGAAAATCTGCCCAGCACAACGCTTGCAGGCATCAGAGGCAGGGAGTGGCATGTTCAAATGTGTGGCTATATCAGGTAGGCTGGGGAAAAACTTGAAAATCTCCATGCCATTAATTCTTTCGACACAGGATCGGTCAATTTGACTGAGTCATGTGACCTTCTGTACATTTAAAGTTGACATAAATTTAATACTTATAACTCTATATATATATTGGGTATATCTTCACGAAATTTGGTAGTCTTTCAATTAATATTACAAGTCTTTCACATACAAAAAGTCATATTTCTTAGTAAAGTACTTTTTAATAAAATAAAATAAAGTTTTGTCCATGAATATATTGAGTATTTGTTTTGAATAATCCGTGTGCAAAGTAATTTTCATGTTAAAATTAAAAATATTTTTGGCATGTCAAAAAAATCTCAGATTTCCTTTGTATAATCTCTAAAACCTCCTAAATGCATTTCAAACGTTTTTTTCCCACTAAATCCTTATAGTTTATATGTTATTTTCTCTACCCTATCTCAAAACGAGATTGGTCAATTCAAACGACCTCATAACCACCAAAAAAAAATTGAAATAAACTTAAATTAACCTTCTTTTCTTTCTAGTATGACTTCAAATTGTAAAATGAAATCACATTCGTTTATCATAAGTAGCTCAAAGTTCATAAAATTATGCAACTATTTATAATCAAATTTTATTGTTTTATTGCCCTTTGAACCATGTCTAACTGCTATCCGCGCCATTATAAGTTGTAAATCACCTGGGGGAACATGCACCTCACATTACGCTATCGAATTACATTACCCACAAGCTGCTCGAGTGCGTGCTTTGTGAAAAATTTTAATTATATTATTGTTATTACTTATTTAATCTATTCTAGTCTTAAATAACTTAAAAAGATCTGTACTTTTAATTTTAGTTTTATAATAATAAATAAAGAATAAATATGAAAAACAAGAAATAAAGTACTTACCTAATTCTCCTTTTTTCTTGCCCTCAATTGTTGATGAGAGTTAAGCATGATTTTGTTTTAGTGATTATAGTAAAG